AAGCAGGCTTCCCGCTGAGCAGGGAGCCCGATGCAGGGCTCGATCCCAGGACCCTGGGATCATGACCTGAGCCAAAGGCAGACGCTCAACGACTGGGCCACCTAGGTGCCCCTGGGTTGGCAAAGATTGAAGTGGGAAGACCAGGTTAGCTGCCCTCCAGCCAACTCCTCACATGACATTTCCATTAGGTATGGCGAAGGCACCTCACACTCAACACGTCTAAGACCCACCTCTTTCCTTGCCCTGTACTGTGCCCCACAAACCACATCCTTTTTCAGCGTCCCCAGCGCTAGTGAACAGCACTACGATTTATACTGATATGCAAATCAGGGCCTCACGAATTCTGCTCTACACCTCCCTTTATGTCATTTTCCAGATCCAATCCATCATCTAGTCCTGTGCACTTTACCCCACCCCCAACTGCTTTCAAATCCATCCTTGTTAGCTCCATTTATTTAGTCCCCTTTAGCAAGGACCTATTATATGAGAGGCACTGTTCTGAGGACAGGGGACATGGTGGTGAGCAAGGCCTTGCCTTCACAGAGCCTCTATTCTAGTGGTTAGAAACAAAGAATAAAAATGGTAATAAGTGAACAAAAACAACGTCAGAGAGTGATAAGTGCTGGGAAGGGAACAAATGGGATGATATTATAGACACTCACTCCTCAAATAGGATCATCATGGAAGGCCATTTTAAGGAGGTAACAGCGACCTGAGACTGGGAAGATGAATGGGAAATGGCCAGGAGAATATTCCTGATAGAGGGAGTAGGAAGTTGATGAGGACAGCAAGAACAGACCTCCTGGTGAGAATGAGCTGGGCTGTATGATGAGTAAAGAGGCCCCCGAGGCTGTGCCCCTGAACGGAGAGAATGGCAGGAAAGAAGGGAACCTAGAAGACAGAAGCTGGATCCCATACAATTGAGGCAATGGTAGACTTCACTGTAAGAAAGCTGGACCTAAGATTTTAGAATCTTTTTTTTTTTTTTACCCTGTAGGCTCCATGCAGCCCTAGACCTAAGATTTTAAAACTGAGCAACTGAGGGAGTGAGAAAGAAACAAGCTTCTGGGAGAAAGCTCTCTGTTTCTGACACATTATGTTTGGGATGTCCATGAAATGTGTACATACAGATGTCATACAGGAAGGCTGCTGGATATAGAAATCTGGAGCTAAGGGAATTAGTCGGAGTTGGAGATAAACCAGCAGGCTGGAGAATACAGATGGTGTTTAGAGCCATGAAAGTGGGCCAGTTATCAGGGAGAGGGTCCAAGACCAGCATTTAGAGCTTGGGAAAAGGAAGAGGAGCCAAAAGAAGAGAAAAGAAGGAAATAAAAGAAGTAGTCACTGAGATAGAAGGAAAATCAGGAGAGGGCTGTCACAAAAGACAAAGAGAAGATTTGGAAGACCAAAGGTCAGCCATGCCAAATTCTACTGACAGGTTGATAGAAACGAGGACAGCAAAGGGTCCACTGAATTTGGCAATGTGGACATACTTGTGACTTGTAAAAAGCAATTTCAGAAAAGTGGGGGTTGGAGAAACTAGAGCAGAGTGGGCTGAAGAGTAAAGAGATGAAGAGAGGACAACAAGGGCAGACACCCTTGCGTTGTTCTAAAGAATAACAGAGAAATGGGTTCAGTCACTAGAGGTGAGGTCAAAGGAGGGTATTTTCAGTGTGAGAGATGCCAGAGAGTTGTTAATGGCAGTAATCCAGGAAAGACGCATGGAGGACAAGAGATGAGTGACGAATTAAGTCCCCGAGAAAGGAGAGGGATTGAGACCCAGAAGCAAAGTGAGAGATCAGCCTTTGAGAGGAGCAGGACACTTCTCCCACTGTAACACCAGGTGAAGTGCAAAGGTGAGTCTAGACAGTACAGTAAGGTTTGCAAACGTGGTGGGGGAGTCGAGAGAGCTCCTGTGTGACTAAGTGCCTTTATTTTCTCAGTGAGGTCCAGTGAGGAATCACTAGACAAGCCTGCAGACTCAACCTCCAATCAGCTATCCACAGGCAGTCCAGTGGATTTTTCAAAAGTAAAAGTGATTATGTCACTAACCTGCTTAAAATTGTTCAGCAGTTTTCCCCTTTTCTTTGGGTGATGAGGAAGGCCTCTAAATGGCTTACAAGGACCTGCAAGGCCTGCCCCTGCTCACCATGTTAGCCTCAGGTTTCAGGCACCCCCTACCCCATTCTCTGCACTCCAGTGCCACTGGATTTCTCTCTTTTGATGTGCCACGCTTCCTTCTGCTGCAAGTCCTTTGCTCGTGCTATTCCCTCTGCACATGCTACTATCTCCTCCCTCCCTTGGCTAAGTCATGTCCGAGTCCTTATCCAGCTCTCGGCTCAAGTGTTATTTCCTTGAGCAGCCCTCTCTGCCCCTGTAGCCTAAGTCTGATCTCTTCGTGACACATTCTCCTGAAACTGTACTTCGTTCCTTCAGAGCACTTCACTCAGGGTGCCTGGGTGGCTCAGTCGGTTAAGCGGCTGCCGTCAGCTCAGAGCACTTCACTCAGTTTTTAATTATATGTTCTTGGTGTAATTTATTTGTTTAATGTCTCTCCTTCCCATTTCACAGTGAACACAATGTCTGCATTGGCTCCCACTGGATCCCCAACATTTAGCATCGTGACTGGCACATAGTAGGAAGTCAATAAATATTGGTTGAGTGAACAGATGTGCAACATGGTAAGTACTATGACATACAGAGAAATTAACAAGATACAGGTCTCCAAGGAAGCTGCAAATGAGTGGGACTACATAATATGCACATGACAGAATCCCTTTCTAAGGAAATGCATGGTGTTAGTGACAGTGGTAACATCTGGGAAAGGGTGAGAAGGACACTAACTTTTGATTGCATACTCTTTTGCACTCTTTGTTTTTTGTTTTGTTTTTTTTTACAGATTTTATTTATTTGACAGAGAGAGAGAGAGCACAAGTAGGCAGAGCGGCAGGCAGAGGGGGAGGGAGAAGCAGACTCCCCGCTGAGCAAGGAGCCTGATGCAGGGCTTGATCCCAGGACCCTGGGATCATGACCTGAACTGAAGGCAGATGCTCAACGACTGAGCCACCCAGGCAGCCCCCCTTTTGCACTCTTTGAATAGGGGTGTGTGTGTGTGCTACTTTTATTTTTTTAATTTTAATTTTTAAATTTTTTTAGAAGATTTTATACATTCATTTGAGAGAGAGAGCATGAACAAGAGAGCACAAGCAGGGAGAGCAGCAGAGGGAGAGGGAGAAGCAGACTCCCTGCTGATCAGGGAGTCCGATGCAGGGCTCGATCCCAGGACCCTGAGATCATGACCCGAGCTGAAGGCAGATGCTCAACCGACTGAGCCACCCAAGCCCCCGTGTTACTTTTAAAGTTTTTTTTTTTTTTTAAGATTTTATTTATTTATTTGTCAGAGGAGAGAGAGCGCACAAGCAGGGGGAGCATCAGGCAAAAGGAGAAGCAGGCTCCCTGCTGAGCAAGGAGCCTGATGTGGGACTCGATCCTAGCACCCTGGGATCATGACCTGAGCCGAAGGCATACACCTAACCAGCTGAGCCACCCAGACTTCCCTACCTGTTACTTTTAAAGGTAAGCAAACACACTTAAAGAAATAATAAAGCTAAAAAATATTAGGTGACATAAAAGAGATATAGAGAATGCCTTAAAGTTTAGAGAAAAGAGGGCTATTTTACATAAAGGCCTCAGTAGGAAAGCTTTATAGAAAAATTATCACTTGAATTGGACACTGAAGGATGAGTTAAGGTTTCAATAGAGGTGAAGAAGGGAGGGAGGAAGCAATTACTAAGGAGAAGGAACAATGAGCAAAGGGATCAGGGCTGGAAAGTACCAGACTGAAGGAAGACAGTGGAGATAGGATAAAAAGTAGGTAGGGATCCATGCAGAGGAGGCAGGAGGTAATGAAGCTAGAAAGTTAGGGTTCAGGGCATAATGTGGAGGCCAGGATAAGGAACTCTGACAAATGTGGCCACAGGATGAACAGGAGAGTACAAGAATTAGACCTGTGCATTGGGGAGGCTCTTTTGCAGTCACTGTACAAGATGGACTGCAGGCGGAAGAGGCAGGAAACAGGAAGGAATCCAGGGTTAGGACCACCTTAAGACAGGAATGTCAACTTGATGTAAGCTCTGTTTTTATGAGAAAGAGAGAGAGAGAGAGAGGGAGGGAGGGAGGGGAGGGGGAGAGAAAGAATAGAAAGAGGCTAGTTTACTTTGTATTTAGAGAGAGTATGCAGTATTAGTTGAGAGATATTGACACCCTGAACCAATGTCAGACAGACAGGGAAGGAGGGGGAAGAATGCAGGCAGGCGGCAGAGATGGCACCAACAGGTCTGAACATACTGATTAGATATGAGGACCGTGGGAGAAATCCAGGTGTTAGAAATTAAGGAAGAGGGAGCTGGAGAGAGAGGGAAGGAGAAAAAGATGGATCCATTCAGAATAATCTAAATTTAAAGAAGCAGAAGGCAATTAAGAAAATTGGGATGGGCGACTATTTGGGAAGGAGATTAGGACTGAGGAGGGTATAGATTATGGAGTTATTTGCATCTAGATGGTTTGAATTGATAAGGCACCACTTGACAAGCTGAAAAAAGAATGATGGATTTCTTTATGGGGTGATGAGAATGATGGTTGTACAACTTTGTGAATACGCTAAAAATGGAATCGTATACTTTAAATGAGTGAATTGTATGGTATGTGAATTACATGTCAAAGTTGCTGTTAAAAAAAAAAGAAGAAGAAGAAGAGAAAGGATCCTGAAGAATGGAGTCAATGGGTATCACAACTCTTCAGAAATTTAGTAACTTCTCAAAACTTCAGTAAGACAGCTGGAGAGTGAGGTAGCTCTTTAGGAGGTTTTTGAGAGGAGGGAAACCTGAGTGTATCCTCAGACAGAGAGGAAGAGCCAGTGGGGAGTAACTTTGAAGCTTTCAGAACATAAGACTTCCCTACAAATTACATACGAGAGGACAAATACCTAATGGATTTCTTCTGTAGTGACATGAGCCTTCCACAGAATATGTAGGCTGGAACACGCTTCCCAACTGATGTGCAAGGACTTGGTTTATATCGCTAAAGGAGATCTGCTTGATGTTCATCAGTTTCGCACAGATCTTATGAAGAGCATCATTTTCATGAACAAGGAGGGCATCTGAAGATCGGTACAAGTGAGAAAGAGTCAAAATGGAGTTGTAGTTCTGGACAATAACCTGGAGAGGAAAAGTGAGAAAAAAAAAAAGGCAAGGGAAAAGAGTGGTTAAGAGGATAGATTTGAAGGGCATCCTGCCTGGATTCAAATCCCAGCTCTGTCACTTTCTAGATCTATGATCTTGGACAAGTTATGTAATCTCTCCAAGCCTCAGTTTTCTCACTTGTACAGCCGGGACAGTAATTATACCAGCTCCTAGAGTTGTAAGGATTAATGACAGAATGCAAGTAAAGCACTTAGAACAGTGTCCTGCTGTTTGTAAGGGCTCAAAAAACAGTGATTACTACTATCACACTTTCTTCCTACAGCATTTCCTACAGTGACTTAACTCATCTCCATTTTATTATTTCTCTTACAAGGCTGATCAACAGGAAATTGATCTATATAGACATTTCCTCTCAATGGAAAGAAAGGAAAATTCTTTGAAGGTTGGCAATGGCATGATGAACCCCAACATGAGGTCAAGGTCCCTCCTTTATATACTATAGCCACAGGGACTAATCAGGAATGGGTTCCTGAGAGAAGATGCACAATTGTCTCCTTTGGAATTTTTTAAAACAAGGACACCTCATTCGTTTAGAAAAGTTTAAGCAAAGTTAAATGAATTGTTCACAGAAGTACTATATTATATAATGAATGACTCCTGATGTAGCGACTTGACATTTCCAAAGAAAGGGTGAGATCAATCTTTTACCTATATTTATTTCACTTCAAAGAATACAAAATACAAAATTTTCCTTTTCTTTTTTTTAAGCTTTATTTAAGTAATCTCTACACCCCATGTGGGGCTTGAACTTACAACCCTGAGATCAAGAGTCACATCTTTTCCAACCGAGCCAGCCAGGCGCCCCCAAAATATAAAAATTTTCAATTAATATGTTCATACCTCACCAGTTCCATAAGGCCATATAATCTGATTCATTTTCAAAGAGTTTGAGTACTGATCTTGTAAATTCTGTGTAACAAAGGCTCCTAGCCCTGATCCTGTGCCCCCAGCCATACTCATTATAATGAAAAAACCACTCAAAGAGTCACATTTCTCCACTTCCTTCTGGATTAGGTTCATTATAGATTCTTCATGCCTGGGTCCATGAACAGAGTAACTATGCAACACAAAAGAAACAAATACAAACACCTTTCAATTTATTCAGAAAGAGGCAAGACAGGAAGATATAGGATAGGGAAGGTTTTTTAAAACCCATGGATGTGAACTAGCTCTCATGAAAGGTACAAGTGCCCTGACTGATAAAATTTAAAATACACACGTTAAATATATTGAACAGGTGAATAGGACTGTGGGGAGAGTGAATTTACTGGGTACAGAAAATTCTCTTTTATAGGCCATTCCTGTAGCTGAAGACTTCAGTTACCAGGTAGTTCTGCAAGCTTATGGTACAAAATAATATTCAATATTCATAATAATACTCCTAAAGCAGTAGTTCTCAAACTTTGCTGCACATTAGAATTACCGAGGGAAGCTTTATAAAAATCCCAATACCCGGGCTTCATCCTAAACCAATTAAATCAGAATTTCTGAAGTAAGACCCAGGCATCAGAATTTTCCAAAGAACCCTAGGACATACTACTGCCTTGTTGTGTTCCCTATTAGCTGGAATACCTGCCAGATAAAGATATTGTTTTGATAATAAGTTAGTTGGTGGAACAACAGTGATGAAGTGGAAAACCCTGCAGCAAGAGATCCTTGGTTTTATCATTACCTGGACCTGAAGCACAGACATACATGAGATAGAACGAAGAGTTTCTTCCGAGTGAAGTCACTCTCTAAATTTTAAAATAGCAATTTCTAGATTATGTGCTTGGTATATCAACTATGCAGCTGTAACTATGCCGTCCAGGTAGCTGTATCTAAACCGAAATCATGAGGAATTACTCTTACCCATATGCCCAGTTGTTTCCAGAACCTTGTTTTTGACAGAAGCATGAATGCTGGCCATATTTCCATCGGCCAGACTGGGTAGCCTTTGATAGTGTTTGACTGGTAACTTTAGGTTCCATATCAACAAGTACAGCCCGGGCAACTGGAACTAGAGGTAGCAAAAAGACCAAAAGAAAAATATTTCATATGTCTTATTTGGGTTATTTCAGAGCACAAATTTCTAGGTCCAAAAAAAAAAAAAAGTCCAAAGGTTAAGGATAGAAAGATCTGTCATACTGCTTAGAAATTAAGGTGGGCAGCAGCAGGTATATACAAATGGTTCATAATGCCTAGCATTCTACTAAGTAGAATGAATCAGTATGGGCTAAAATGATCCCTGGGTCAGGTCTACAAACATCTGTTGAGAGCTCACAATGTGCCAAGCAGTGTGCTGGGAACACAGAGATGAAGACAACATCAATCTAGCCCTAGAAGCAGTAGTGCAAGAGATAAAACTTAATCGCAGTATGATGTGGTACGACCCAAAGCAGGCCGGGCTCAGACCTTGGAAGTCCTGGTATGGAGTGCTAAAAAGCTTAAAAATTTATCTATAAGATAATGTGAAACTACTGAAAATGTTTAAGCAAGTGAGGAATTGTCAGATGGCTTTTATTTTTAACTAATTAATTTTTAAAGATTTTATTTATCTATTTGTCAGAGAGAGAGAGCAAGCAAGCGAGAGTACAAGCAGGGGGAGCGGCAGGCAGAGGGAGAAGCAGGCTCCCCGCTGAGCACGGAGCCCGATGCGGTATTTGATCCGAGGACCCTGGGATCATGACCTGAGCCGAAGGCAGACGCTTAATGACTGGGTCACCCAGGCATCCCTTCAATTTATTTTTTAAGTAATCTCTACACCCAATGTGCGGCTTGAACTCACAACCCTGAGATCAAGAGTCACACGCTCTACCGACTGAGCTAGCCAGGGGCCCCATCAGATGACTTTTTAAATACAGCAGTGTGGAAGGTAGATATGATAGACACAAGAGTCAAGGCAGGGAAACTAGAAGGAATGTCTTGAAACAATTCAGGTGAGAGAGGACAAGAGCCAGAACTAAGCCAATGGCAGTGAAGATGGAAAGGGGAGAAGAGATATGTAGGAGGTAAATTAAGCAGCAGATGATTGTTTGATGGTATGTGGGCAGTAAGAGCCCAAGTTCTAAAGGAAAAATAATGAATGCCCTAGGGTATGGAGATGTTGAGTTTGAGGTACACATGGAGATGCAGGTGGAGATGTCCACTAATCAGTCTGCAGCTCTGAAGAGAGGCTAGGCTGCAGATTTGAGAATCACTAGTGTCAAAGAAGCTGCAAATTACAAGAGTAGCTGAAATTGCCCAGAGAGAACTATACCAGTGAGGACAGAGGAGAGAGAGTCTGAGATGCAACCACTGGAAAAGAAAAATTCAGAGACTAAGGAGGAGTTTTAA